CTGGTCCCCGTTGGGGATTCCCAGGGGCGGGGCAGGTCAGGCTCCGTCCCCTCCCCCACGGCACATGGTGCGGGCCGGTGGGGGCAGGGCTGGCCCTGGCCGGTGGGGTGGGACCGGGGTGGGGCGAACCCTTTGCCCGGAGTCTCGCCAGCGACCGGACCGGGGTCTCCCTCCGACCAGCGGGGCCGGAGCAGGGTTTCTGCGCTGAAATGGCCAGGTGGGGTGTCTGTTATTGTAGGGTCGCTCATGGGGGCTGGGCCCCACGCGTTGTGTGCTTCCTCCCCCTTCCCCTCCCCCCTCCACGTGGGTGCCCTCGTAGGGCTGCCCAAAGGGTCTGGGGCCGAGGTCGCTGCTGTTGTAGGGTGGCTGTGGTCTGGGGGGGGGGGGTTGGTGCATTTTTAGGGTGGCGTGGGACACCTGCAATGTGTGTGTTGCGTGTATGTGGGTCTGTGGTAGGGTAATTGAGGTGGTGGGGCAGCCGTTCTGGGCTCGCTCGGGGTCCCGGGCGCTGGGCAGTCGTGGGGTCGCCCTGACTCTGCCGCAGGAACCCCATATTGTGTGTTTCAGGGGTGGGGTGGAAGGTGACACATTTATCTTGGACAGGGGAGGGGGCCCCATGGGATCCAAGAGCATGGGGGGAGCTGGGGGGGAGGAGTAGACAGGGGATCTGAGTGGAGGGGAGCAGTGGGGTGCAGGCGGGGGTTGCTAACAATTCATAATCCCCTTTGCCTTAACCTGCCGTCCCCTTCCCTCCTAGCCGGTGCGGAGCCAGGATGGCGAAGGAGATGCGGGCGCAGTACGAGCCGGTGGCGGAGATCGGCGTCGGCGCCTACGGCACCGTCTACAAGGCCCGGGACTTGCAGACCGGCAAGTTCGTGGCCCTCAAGAACGTGCGCGTCCAGACCAACGAGAACGGGCTGCCGCTCTCCACCGTGCGTGAGGTGGCGCTGCTCAAGCGGTTGGAGCATTTCGACCACCCCAACATCGTCCGGTGAGGCGCTGGGGGCGGCTGTGCGGACGGGGGAGGGCTGGGAGGAAGCCGAGACCGGAGGAGCACTTGCACGTGGTGCTCAGTCACGTGGGGCGGGGGCTGGCGGGCGCTTAGTTTGCATTGGAGGGAATTTGGTTTTGGGGACCCAACAGCCACTTCCCTCTGCACCCCCCTGGGATAAACGTCCCAGGCTGTTCAAGAAAGGGAATCAGTATCCCATGGGGGGGACTCCCCCCGGCTCGGGGGTGTGGGGGGAAAGGGTAAGGAGGCTTGGGGGTGTGGGTGGGAGGTAAGGAGTGGGGAGGGGTCCCCAATCTGGGGTCCCCAATCTGGGATCTGTGTAGGAGGCACATGGCTAGTCCTGCCTGGGAGGTTAGAGTGGCCGTGCAGGGGACAGAACGCTGCTCTGCTCTCTGGAAACTCCCTTTCCGTATGAGCTAATCCCTGGGAGCTGGAAGCAGCCCCGGGCCGCTTTGCGCCCGTTTTTCCAGCTCTGGGAAATGTGCGGCCGGTTCTAGGAATTGAGCCGTGGTCTGGGAGCTGCCTCCTTCCTGCGATTCCTGCAACGCTAGTCGCGGGGAGGGAGCGTGCCCGGGGCTGGGCCGCGGGATGGCTCGGCTGGCAGACGTGTGGGTTTCCACTGGCAGAGGATGTCCGTCCTCCCCCGGCTGAGGGGCCCGCCTGCGCTGGGGGTGGGGGAGGAGGTTCAAGAGCTGCTCTGTGTCTTGCCTGGCCTTGGTCCCCAGGTGTTTATAGGCCTGTTGTGTTAGGCCAGGGGTAGGCAACCTGTGGCACGCGAGCTAATTTTCAGTGGCACTCACACTGCCCGGGTCCTGGCCACCGGTCCGGGGGGCTCTGCATTTGTAATTTAATTTTAAATGAAGCTTCTTAAACATTTTATAAACCTTATTTACTTTCCATACAACAATAGTTTAGTTCTATATTATAGACTATAGAAAGAGACCTTCTAAAAACGTTAACATGCATGACTGGCACGCGAAACCTTACATTAGAGTGAATAAATGAAGACTCGGCACAGCGCTTCTGAAAGGTTGCCGACCCCGGCGTTAGGCTTTTTCTGCCAGCCGGTTCCGCTCTGCTGGGGGTCCTGCCCACGCCAGCCTGGGGCACTGCTGGCTTTACAGAAACGCTGGGGTGACGGCAGGAGAGCTCCAGGGAAGGAGGTCACTGGTGGGTGGGGTCCCCATCCTGCCCCTCTCCCGGCTGTACTGAGACGCTTGGGGTAAATAGAGACGTTTTAGGGAGCTTCTAAAAAAATCCAGCCTCAGCAGCAGGGTCTTGGGGTGAGGGGGTGGGGGCAAGGCAGGTGGGAAGAGTGGCAAACCATTGGGGAGGGGGGTGGGTGCCGGGAGGCAGGGGGAAAGCGGTGGGGTGGGGGTGCGGTTGGGATTGAGGGCAGCCGCATCTGAAGGGACCGTAGCTTTCTAAGCACTTAGCTCCCTGGCAGCCTCCTATGGTGAGAGGGGCTAGTGGAGCTGTCCTGCCCCCACCGCGAAGGGCCAGGCCTGGCACGCTGCCCCCAAGTGATCTCCGGGGGTGGGCGGTGGGGACACTGCTGCCCTTGGTGCTACGGCTCCCCCGTCAGAGGAGCTTGCAGGGGCCGGTTCTGCTGGCTCCGTCCCTTTGAGTCGCGGGCCCTGAGGGCTGCAGACAAAGTTTCCATTTTGTCTGCACGTGAGCCTGGCCCTCCTGTCTCTTCCCTGTTACCAGCTTCACAGACATTTTGCAGGCAGTTCCCAGCCCCTTGTCTGCCTCTCTGAGCCAGAGGGCAGTGCGGCAGGATGTCCGCGTCCTGTGCTGATTAGCTTCCAGGAAGCAGGGAGGAAGCAGTGGGGCCCCGGGAATTGCTGATTGAGTTATCCAGATAAGAGTCTGGAGCTCTGCTTTGGGCTATCTGGCAGCAGGATCTGCAGCTGGGAATCGAATCAACCCAGTACTGGCTGGAGCTCTGTGATTGGTTGCGGGTTTGATACTGTGAGCTCGGGGGCATGCTCAGGAAGCGTGTCCCCAAATTACCATGTGATAGAAAGCATGGGGGGCAGGATTGGGGGCTGTAGGTTGGGATTGAGGGACATTGGCAGAGCTGTGTGGGGGGCAGGGGAGCTGCAGGTCAGGACTGAGGGACATTGGCAGAGCTGTGTTCCATCCCTCTAGATGGGCCTGAGGGGGGGGTCCCTGGCGACCATCTGTCCCACGTTGGGCCCAGACAGCCCCGGTCCTTCGCGTTGTGTTGGGCTGGATCGTTGAGTTCCTGCAGCTGCGAGCGGGAGCCCCACTTCCAGCAGAGCATGTGTCAGTCAGACCCCTGCCTGGCCCCTCCCTCCCGCACTCCGATCCCCAGCCCCCGCCAAGTTCCCTTCTCCGCCTCCCCGCAGGTTGATGGATGTCTGTGCCACCACCCGGACGGAGCGCGAGACCAAGGTGACGCTGGTGTTCGAGCACGTGGATCAGGACCTGAAGACGTATCTGGACAAGACGCCGGCCCCTGGCTTGCCAGTGGAGAAGATAAAGGTACAAGGGGAATCGAAGGGAGCTTTGGGGATGCCCCTGCCCCGCGGCACCCGCTGCCCTCGTGACAGAGGGTGATTGGGGAGGGGAGAGTTGCTTGCCTAGAGGAGGCTTCAGGAGCTGGGCTGGTTCAGCCTGGCCTAAACACATCTGATTGCTCTCCATCAATACAGCCGGGGGAAGCCCAGGGGAGGGACGAGCTAGTGAAGGCAAAAGACAACGTTGGCCCAGGGTCTGGAACAGCCTCCAGTAGGGGATAAACAATCCAGCTGGATAGCTCCGCGAATAGGATGACATGACAGGCTCTGCGGCTGGATTCGATGCCCCAGGAGGGCCCTTCCTGTCCTGTATCCCTGGCCCCCGCCCCACCTGTGCTGCTGGGGCAGGCAGGGAATCTGACCCTGCGCTCTCCCCCTGCTCGGCCAGGACCTGATGCGCCAGTTCCTGAGCGGCCTGGACTTCCTGCACTCAAATTGCATCGTGCACCGCGACCTGAAGCCGGAGAACATCCTCGTGACCAGCAGTGGGCAAGTGAAGCTGGCGGACTTCGGCCTGGCCCGGATCTACAGCTGCCAGATGGCCCTGACCCCTGTGGTGAGCGCTCCTGGCCCTAAGGCCTGTGCATGTGGAGGGGGTGGACGGGAGCAGGTTTTGGCTCATGGAGCCCGGCTTTGAAATGCTGAGGTGCCTCCTCCCCTGCTGGGCCCCAGGCCCCCTGCGGTCCCGCACTTGTGCCTGCGATACTCTGCCTTTGGTGCTGGGGCTCCCGCCCATGTCGGGCGGGGAGAGATTTTTCCCGGTCAGTGTCTGAGCCGCTGCCGTGGGTGGGGATGGCGGGTTGGGAGCCGTGTGAGCCTGAGTCACTGGAGGGTGACTGCCGGCCGCCTCATCCTCTGCTGCAGGCATCTTCCCGCAGAGGCGCCGGCCCGGCCCCCAGCCAGAGATCCTGTGCTGGGTGACGGGCTCCTTCCCCGGGCCGGCCTGGCCTGCTCTCGCTGTCTGTGAGCCCTGCGAGGTGCCCTCTCTGCTGCGAAGGGAGGATTTCCCCAGGGTTCGCAGCTGCCCAGACACGAGTGCTTCCCAGTTACCCCGTCAGTGGGAGCTTCACTCAGCTGCTACAAGGCACCACCCGCGGGGGGATTAGGGGGCAAATGGGAAAACTCGGGACAGGGGGGGGGGGTAATAGGAGCCTATATAAGAAAAAGACGCAAAAGGCGGGACTGTCCCTATAGAATCGGGACCTCTGGGGATCCCCGGGGACACCCCCGCCGTGCCAAGTGGTCCCCCTGCCACCGATGCTGGTGGGAGTGGGGTGTGCTGGGAACCTGGCAGGGGCTTGGGCGCACTCAGCCATCGTTGGGCTGGGCTCCCAGGGCCCTTGTTGGGCTGGGCGTGGGGGTGGGGGTGGCGTGAAGGTATAGCCGGAGCTCATGGCTGTGTGAGCAGCAAAGGGGGCCTGACTCAGCAGCTCTTCCTTCTCTGGGGGCTGGAGATTGAGGGCTCCTGCCCTGCTTGAGGGCTGAGAGATCTGGGGGTTCTCCAAGCTGCTAACTTCCAGCTCTTGGGGCACCTGGGGGCAGGGCCGGGGGCAGCCCTGGGTCTGTAGCTGGGGTGCTGCTATCGGGGGTTACCCCGTCACGTCTCCACGGAGACGAGCTCCAATGTGGTGGGGCGGGAGGGGGGGAGCTGCAGGCTCCGGCAGCCCCCATGCTGCTTCCCCCCCAGCCAGTGGGGTGCGTGGAATCTGTAGGGTAAATATTGTGCCATAGGCAGGAAGTGGGAGCGGCGGGTGGGGACACTGTCTAAAGGCATTTCCTGCCCAGCAGGGACCGGGAGCTCTGAGCTTCCAACCAGCCCTGGAGAGACTCACCCTCCAGGAGATGGGGAACTCGTAAGCTGCTTGTGGGAGGGGAGCCCTAAACCCCAGCAGGCTTCTACCCAGGGATGGGGACACAGTCTGTTTCTGTGCCCGTGCAGGTGGTTACCTTGTGGTATCGCGCCCCGGAAGTGCTGCTCCAGTCGACCTACGCCACCCCCGTGGACATGTGGAGCGTCGGCTGCATCTTTGCCGAGATGTTCCGGCGAAAGTGAGTGCGTGTGGGGAGGAGCTTGGCGGGTGCTGGGCAGGGCCGGGGTGCGGGCACTGGGGTGCCTGCAGACACAGGGTGGGCACTGGGTGGCGTGGGCACGGGCGGGTGAGGGTGTGGCTGTGTGGGGTGCGGGTAGGCCTGGCTGGATGTCCATGTATAACCTTGAACCCCTCTCTCTGGGCGGGAGGCGTCGTGCCCAGCATCTCACGGAGCCAGGAACCCTGACTCCCAGTTCCCTGCTCCGACCGGTCAGTCATGCTGCCTTGTGGTAACATGACCCTGCTGGGGACTAGGACGGCATGGCTGGGTTGGCTCTGGCCTCTGGCTGGCTGCAGACCATGGTGGGGAGCCCACCTGCTGGTCTCAGCCCTCCCTCCCCCCCAGCCCCTTGCTGTAGCGTAGCAAGCCCAGCTGGGAGACAATTGATTAGTTCTGAGCCAGGAACTACCACCCCCCCCCAGGCTTATCAGCTTGGCTCTGTGCTGATAGCCGGGGAGGGGCCCCGCGCTGCCAGATCTCCCCTCCCGGCCTTGTGGGCTCAGCTCTGGGCCTCTCCAGGGCTGGGGGGATGTGTGATAATGAGGCTGACGCCCTGGTATCCAGCGGGCCCCTTCTGGGCAGGTCATGGCTAGCTGGGGGAGGGGGAGTTGGGCCCCGGCCTGTTACTGGCCCCTCCAAGACCTCCCGCCATTGTTCAGCCTCTTTGGCCTTTGAGCGGGCCGGAGGGTGATGTGGGTGGGAGTGTGTGCCCATGCAGCCACCTCTGGGTGGGGACAGGATGGCTCTGGTTCTGACCCAAAGGGAGGGGGCTAACGGTGGGGGGCACACCCCACGCTCAGCTCAGCAGCCAGCCCCTCTCTCCCCTGCAGGCCCCTCTTCTGTGGCAACTCAGAAGCCGACCAGCTGGGCAAGATTTTTGAGTAAGTTCTGAAGCTTCCCTAGTGTCTTGCTGGAGGGGGTTGGATGGGGGCGGGGGTGGCACCCTGGGATCTCGTGGGGGGGATGGGACTCATTCAAGCAGCTCTTGAATGAGGCACTTAAGGGCCGAGCCAGGGTGGGGCTGGGGGACCCAGCCCTGGTTGAGAGCTGATTGATGGGACAGGGCGGGGCAGCGTGCCTGGGTGTAGGGCTGCTGCTGGAGGTATAAGCACAAAAGTTTGTGGGGTGGGGGGGCTGCTGGGAGCTTGTCCTCTCCTTTATCCTGTTAACAACTCTCGGGGACGCTCAGTAACCAACCCACCCTGCTGTGCTCCAAGATGAAGCCGGGTCCAGCCTTGTGCTGCGTAGTGACTGACCTCCTCTCACATCCCCCCCTTCCCTCCCCGGGTGGCCAAGGAAGGAGGCGACCGGTCGAGAGGTTTTTTTGCCGCGTGGGGAGCAGAATGTCCAGGGTGCTGCCTCGTGCAAGCAGCCTGGGGCCCAGCGCCGCGGGCAGCTCTGTGCTAGAGGAGGGAAGGTCATTTGAACCCTGGGGCTGAGGGGACAGTAGCGGTGCCGGCGCCTGGGTTTGCCTCAATGCGCGGACGGGGCTTCGAGCTACCCCTGCCTGGTCTGCCCAGGATCAGAACCCGGGTTAGGTAGCCTCTAGGAGCCCCTTTGTGCACGGCGCTGCGCAGACAGAACAGACACGGCCCTTGCCCCAGAGACGGCCGCTATAAGGGAGCAGTCTGGTGAACACGGGTTACCTTAGCGGGGGTTAAAGAGGCCCCTTTGTTCCTAGCAGAGACAAGGTGTCACGGAGTCCCCGGGCGATGCTCTGGAACTGCTCCCCACAAAGCCAGTCAGGATTTTGGGGAGCCTCCTCTCCCTTGGAGCAGACTGTCTTCAGGGCAAGAAGCTCACACGGCTTCACCTCCTGGGTCTCTCCTGGGAGCATTCAGCATATGCCCCTCCGTGCGCTTCCCTCAGCGAGTCCGCCCAGGCGGGGTCCTGGGGAAGCCAAAGCGTTCTGCACCCCCCACTTCACAGTCAGACGTGACTCTCAGCCAGCCAGTAAAACAGAGGTTTATTAGATGACAGGAACACGGTCTAAAATGGAGCTTGTAGGTCCAGCGAACGGGACCCCTCCGCTGGGTCCATTCTGGGGTCCAGCGAGCCAGACACCCACGTCTGCACTCACTCCCCGTCCCCAGCCAGCCCCAAACTGACTCGCTCTCCAGCTCCTCCTCCTCCTCTGGACTTTGTCCCGTTCCGGGCCAGGAGATCACCTGATTCCTTTGTTCTCCAACACCTTTAGCGATCACCTTGCAGGGGGGAAGGGCCCTGGCCATTAGTTGCCAGGAGACAGAGTGTTGGCCATTAATGTATACTGACCCTTTGCTCTGCAACAATTACACACCCCTTATCCCACCACCTAGAGACTTAAGAAATGCATAGGGGAAACTGTGGCACCCCTACAGGGTATTCCGAGGAAACATTAAGAGCAGCCCCAGGGGCTGGAGGGGCAGAGAGCCGGGGTGTTAGATATCCGCTGGGAATCGTGGGTGAGGGATTCGGAACGGGCCGGGAGAGGCTCTTGTCTGAAGAGGCTGGGGCTGTGTAGGGGGCAGGAGATGGGACAGTGGGTCAGGGAGCCTGGGCTCGGCTCACAAAGGACTTATCAAGGAAACAGAAAGCCGGTATCTCTGCTCTGGGCTGGCAGTGCCCATGTCCCACCCCTGCCTGGGTGCCAGTTGCTGTGCAAAACCAGCCCCCTCCCTGCTGCCCCGTCCCAATGGTTCTCTTCCCTCCCCCGCAGCATGATCGGGCTCCCGGCAGAGGACGACTGGCCCCTGGACGTGGCCCTGCCGCACTGCGCCTTCACGGCACGCTTCCCGCAGCCCGTGGAAATGTTTGTGCCAGAGATGGAGAAGCTGGGGGCGCAGCTTCTCTTGGTAGGTAGGGGGGGGGGGATGACGTGGGAGTAAGGGGGGGGAAGC